GGCTGATTTTTTGAGTTATTGTAGAGATGAGGTCTCGCTGCCCGGGCGGGTCTCGAACCCATGGGCTCAGGCAACCCACTCACCTCAGCCTCCCAAAGGCGCGGGATTACAGGCTGAGCTACCGAGCCCGGCTTCAGAATTTATTTATTTATTTATTTATTTTTTCTTTTTTGAGTTGGAGTCTCACTCTGATACCCAGGCTGGTGCTCAGTGGCACGATCATGGCCACTGCAGCCTCAATCTGCTGAGCTCAGGCAATCCTTCTGCCTCAGCCTTCCGAGTAGCTAGGACTACAAGCATGTGGCACCATGCCCAGTCAATTTTTTCATTTTACCATGGAGACGAGGTCTCACCATGTTGCCCAGGCTGGTCTTCAACTCCGGGGCTCAATCGATCCCCCCACCTCAGCCTTCCAAATGCTAGGATTACAGGGACGAGCCACCATGCCCAGCCTACAGGATTTCAATGACACTAAATGCACACTACTACCACAATAGTTGATATTTATTCCATATACAATTTTGCCCAGTTGTCCCCAGAATGTGTCTTCTAGCTGGTTTGTTGAAACCAGGATGCAATCCAAGACCATGCACTACATCTGGTCGTGATGTTCGCTAAGTCTCTCTGTCTCTCTCTCTGAGTTGGGCTCTCACTCTGTCACCCAGACTGGAGTACAGTGGCACAATTATGGCTCCCTGCAGTCTCAAGCTTCTGGGCTTAGATGATCTCCCCTCTTCAGCCTCCCAAGTAGCTAGGACTAGGGGTGCATACCACCATGCCCAGATAATTTTTGTTTTTGTTTTGTTTCATGGAGACCAGGTCTCGCGATGTTCCCCAGACTGGTCTCGAATGCCTGGGCTCAAGTAATTCTCCAGCCTCAGCCTCCCAAAGTGCTAGGATTACAAATGTGAGCCACTGTGCCCAGCTACCAAGTCTCTTTTAATATAGGACAGCTTTCCCTCTCTTTTTGTGACGTTGGCCTGTGAAGAAGCCAACTGTCCCCCAGAAAATATCTCCTTCCAGATTTATCAGTGGTTTCCCCATGGTGCCATTTAACTTGTTCCTTCTATCTCTTGAGTTCGTGATTCGGGAAGTGGATTGTAAGGGCTTCAGAGATTTACGTCAAGCCCTTGGGGCAAAGTTCACCAGGGCTTAGAAACCAGACAG